GCGCGACGCGGGGGGGGGGGGGGGGGTTGGGGACACCCCAAAAGTGATGGGGATGGGGACACGGGCGTGGGGGGACCCCAAAAGTGCTGTGGGAGGTTGGGGACACCCCAAAAGTGATGGGGATGGGGAGAGGGGTTTGGGGACAGCCCAAAAGTCCTGGGGGAGGTTGGGGACACCCCAAAAGTACTGGGAATGGAACAGGGGATTTGGGACACCCCCAAAAAATCCTGGGGTGGGTTGGGGTCACCCCAAAAGTGATGGGGGAGGTTGGGGACACCCCAAAAGTGATGGGAATGGGGAGAGGGGATTGGGGACACCCCAAAAGCTGTGGGGTGGGTTGAGGTCACCCCAAAAGTCCTGTGGATGGGGACAGGGGATTAGGGAAACCCCAAAAGTGACCGGGGAGGTTGGGGACACCCCAAAAGTGATAGGGATGGGGACACGGAGGTGGGGGACACCCCGGAAGTTATGGGGATGGGGACACGGGGTTTGAGGACACCCCAAATGCCTTGAGAATGAGGAGAGAGGATTGGGGACACCCCAAAAAGTCCAGGGGCGGGTTGAGGACACCCCAAAAGTGATGGGAATGGGGAGAGGGGATTGGGGACACCCCAAAAGCTGTGGGGTGGGTTGAGGTCACCCCAAAAGTCCTGTGGATGGGGACAGGGGATTTGGGACAGCCCAAAAGTCCTGGGAATGAGGAGAGGGGATTGGGAACACCACAAAAAAATCTGGGGGAGGTTTGGGTCACCCCAAAAGTGATGGGGATGGGGAGAGGGGTTTGGGGACAGCTCAAAAGTCCTGGGAATAGGGAGAGGGGATTGGGGACACCCCAAAAATTCCTGGGGCGGCTCAGGGACACCCCAAAAGTGATGGGGATGGGGACACGGGGGTGGGGGTCACCCCAAAAGTGCTGGGAATGGAACAGGGGATTTGGGACACCCCAAAAATTCCTGGGGCGGCTTGGGGACACACCAAAAGTCCTGGGAATGGGAACAGGGGATTTGGGGACAGCCCCAAAACATGTGGGACAGGTTGGGGACACCCCAAAAGTCCTGGGAATGAGGAGAGGGGGTTGGGGACACCCCAAAAGTGCTGGGAATAAGGAGAGGGGATTGGGGACACCCCAAAAAATCCTGGGGCGGGTTGGGGTCACCCCAAAAGTGCTGGGGATGGGGAGAGGGGTTTGGGGACACCCCAAAAGTCCTGGGGCTGGAGTGACACAGGTTGGGGACATTCCTGGCCCTCGGTGACCCCCAAAAGTCTTGTGGATGGGGAGACGGGGTTGGGGACACCCTTGGGGGCAGACTGGGGACACCCCAAAAATCCTGGGAATGGGGCCAGGGGACTGGGGACACGCCTGGCACTTGGTGACACCCCCAAAAGTTCTGGGAGTGGTGACAGAGCATTGGGGACACCCCAAAATCTTTGGGAATGGGGACACGGGGTTGCGGACACCCCGAAAGTCCTGGAGTGGTTTGGAGTCACCCCAAAAGTTTTGGGGCATGTTAGAGACACCCCAAAAGTGCTGGGAATGGGGAGAGGGGCCTGGGGACAGCCCAAAAGTCCTTGGGGGCAGATTGGGGACACCCCAAAAGTGCTGGGAATGGTGGGTGACATGTTGGGGACACTCCTGGCCCTGTGTGACCCCCCAAAAAAAAAGCTTTGGGTGACCCCCTAAAAGTCCTGCGGCTGAGGGGGGGACGCAGGGACATTTGGGACATTTGGGACATGTGGGACACTGTCACTAACCATGGGGGTGTCACCTCCCAAGTGGGGGTCACAGGAACCCCCCCCCCGGGCACCCCAAAAGCGCCATGGTGGGGACAGCGGGACAGGGGACACGGGGACAGTGACAAGGGGGCCCTGGTCCTGTCCCAGCCCCCGGGGCTTGGCTTGGTGGCACCAGAGAGGTGACAACGGGACAGGCCGGAGGACCCCGCTGGGGACAGGGACAGAGGGACACGGCCACCCTGGGATGTCCCCAGCGCCGCCGGTGCCACCTCCATTATCGATGTCACCAACGGGGACATGTCACCGCCCCCTAGGGACACCCAGAGCCCCCCGCGCTGTCCCCTCTGCTCATCAGCGTCGTGTCCCCAACCTTGGGGACACCCCCGGTGGCTGCCACCCCCTCCCGGGTCGTGGTGAGGTGTCGGGGGTCCCCCAATGTCCCCGATGTCCCCGATGATGTCCCCGATGTCCCCAGCACCTGTCGATGATGACGGGGTCCGAGGGGGTCTCGTTGCGGTTCCCGCAGCTCTTCTTGTCGCAGCAGCGGCTGGACACGGCGACAGGAGGTGACATCAGGGGACAGCGAGGGCTGAGGGACCCCCCAAACGCCGGGAGGGACGCGCCAGGTCCCCATGTCCCACCCTCGGACCGCCCTGTCACTCAGGGCTGGGGACAGAGGGGACACCAGGACGGGCACAGCAGGGAGGGGACACTCGGGGGTGTCACTTTTCCACCTCTAGATGGGGTTTGGGGACAGATTTGGGGGGTCCCGGGGGCTCCGAAGGAGTTGAGGACCCGTCCCTGTCACCCAGGGGGGGCTCCGTGTCACTTCCGGGTGGCTCTGAAGGGGTTGCGGACCCGTCCCTGTCACCTAGGGGGTCTCAGTGTCACCTCCGGGTGGGCTCTGAAGGGGTTGGGGACCCGTCCCTGTCACCTCCGGGTGGATCTGAAGGGGTTGGGGACTTGTCCCTGTCACCTTCAGGTGGCTCTGTACGGGTTGGGGACTTGTCCCTGTCACCTCCGGGTGGCTCTGAAGGGGTTGGGGACCCACCCCGGAGCTCCGTGTCCCCCCCGGGGGACACACCAGCGCCACCCGCAGTCCCCAGCCCCGAGCGGGTGTCCCCGAGGGGACTCAGGGAGTGGCCTGTCCCCTGCCGCGAGGTCAATTAGCGGCGCTGGCCCGGCTCATTAATTAACGCGGGGTCTGTAATCACTTCAGCGGGCACTAAAGGGACCTTGGGGACAGCCCTGTCACCCCCCGCGTGTCCCCAGCCCACCTGCACATGATCTCGTGGGTCAGCAGCACCCGGCACATCTCGGGGTTCTTGTCCTGCCCCTCGTAAATGATGGCCTGCAGGGGACACCGAGGGGACAGCGGCGACACCGCGGTGGCACCGGCGAGGCGCTCCCGGGCCCTGCCACCTGCGCCACTCCCTCCCCGCTCAGCGCGGGGGACACCGCGGCCAGATGTGGCCGCAGCGACATCCAGATGTTCCCCGCGGGTGGGGCCGGGGGGGGATTTGGGGTGGGGGGTGGATTTGGGGTCTCGGTACCTGCTTGGACATGGAGTCAATGAGCCGGACGTACAAATCCTGCTCGGTCCGGAGCCCTGCGGGGACACCAGAGGGGCCACCCCACTTGTCACCTCCCCCTGGGGACACCCCGAAACCCCCCCGAAACCCCCCCGAAACCCCGCACCCACCGTTGCTGTAGAGCAGCTGCAGGCGGTAGTGGATCCCGTTGTTGGTCTTCTCCCCGTTCTGCTCCTTGAGGGGTGGGGACAAAATTAGCGGGGAGGGCTCATGTGGTCACCCGGTGTCCCCTCCGCACCCTCCTGGGGTCACTCCGTGTCCCCTCCGCGTCCTCCTGGGGTCATTCGGTGTCCCCTCCGCACCCTCCTGGGGACACCCCGTGTCCCCTCCGCACCCTCCTGGGGTCACCCCGTGCCCCCCCCGCACCTCAGCCGC